CCACAACCTTCCCCCCTCCCCCCACACACTCACAGGCCCCCACAAAACCTACACACATGCACACAACCACACCCCCATGCCTATCTACCTTCCCAAAAAATCCCTCATACACACCCGCACCCTCCCCCACAGCCCACATACCCACAAACCTATACCCACCTCCCAACCCCCTCCCACAATAAAGAAGAGTAAAGCTTCATTTTAAGCTACTGTACTATCACCTCTAGGTACACTACACAAACCCATGTAAATCAGGCCAAAAATATTTCTTGAAACTGAATTAATGAATGCTGTAGTAGATGTTTGATTTTTAGAATATAATTTGGTGTTTTTCTGTTTCTGAAATGGCAAACCCCTGTTCTGAAAGGAGTACTTTATGGGGGCGAGGGGAGGGACTTCTAGTGGTAAAGGTCAGGTGTTGGGGGGAAAGACTTCTGGTCTCAAGATGGTGACTAGGGGGCAGGACACCTGTCAAGGGCGATGACACCAAGATTTGGGTTGAGGTGGGCACGCTAGAAGGGAGAGACAGGATACAGCTGGACCTGGACAGGTTACAGGGGTGGGCAGATGAGAACAGGATGGGATTCAATACTGGCAAGTGCAAGGTGCTGCACTTGGGCAGTAAGAACCAGCAGCAGACCTACAGGCTGGGGAACTCCCTTCTTGTCAACACAGAGACAGAAAGAGATCTTGGAGTAATTATCGATTCCAAGATGAACACGGGCTGCCAACGTGAGGATGCGGTCAGGAAGGCCAACCGCACCCTGTCATGCATCCACAGATGCATCTCGAGCAGGTCCAAGGAGGTGATCCTCCCCCTCTATGTGACACTGGTCAGGGCGCTGCTGGAGTACTGTGTCCAGGTCTGGGCGCTGCACTTCAGGAGGGATGTGGACAGCATGGAGAGGGGCCAGAGGAGGGCCACCCACATGATCAGGGGGCAGCAGGGCAGGCCCTACGAGGAGAAGTTATGGGACCTGAACCTGTTCAGCCTCCATAAGAGAAGACTGAGGGGGATCTAGTGGCCATCTATAAACTCACCAGGGGGGACTAGAGGGCATTGGGTGAGACCCTGTTCCCCCGAGCACCTCCTGGAGTAACAAGGAACAAAGTCCACAAATTGACTGAGAATGGGTTCTGCCTAGATATTAGGAGGTGCTGCTTCACAGTCAGGGTGGCTAGGGTCTGGAACCAGCTTCCAAGGGAAGTGGTGCTGGCTCCTACCCTGGGGGTCTGTAAGAGGAGGCTTGATAACTACCTAGCTGGGGTCATTTGAGCTTAAAATTAGTAGGGGTCATAAGAGCCCTGTATTCATTCCTGTCCAGGGCAGGGGGTCGGATTCGATGATCTGCTCAGGTCCCCTCTGACCCTACTTTTATGAAACTATGAAACTATGTGGCCCTTGATGGCTTGCCAAAACTTGGTAAGTGACCCTCTACCCAGTGTCGCGTAGAGGGGGAGGATCACCTCCTTGGCTCTGCTTGTGATGCATCTGTGGATGAACGACTAGGTACGGTTGGCCCTACTGACCGTGATCTCGCTTGTTGGCCCATGTTCATCTTCGAGTCAATAATGACTCTGCGGCAGAAAGCCACCTTTGTCTCTGCCCAAAGTCTCTGC